ATCCTAATATATATATATATATATATATATATATATATATATATATATATATATATATATATTTTTTTTTTTACTTTGTGTTTAGAAAATTTGAACTCAGAAAATTAATACAACTATGCAGCAACAGTATTGTACTACATACACATGCCAGAGGGTTCCATTCAGACAAGCTTCTTGTGCATGATGGCAACCAATTGTACTCTCACCTTCCATTGAAAAACGCAAAGGAGCCATTGGCTCTCATTTCAGAGGCTGGTTGTGTTACTAAGCAACTGTGTTAAGTCATATCCTTTCACCATCTGTTGCCAATCCATGTTAGCGCCCACTGATTTAAATGACAGCCACTTAATGAAGACGGTGGGTATGATATAATTCCCAAAATAGCTAAGCCATACTAAACTGTCACATGATACATTCATCTGCACAATAATTGGAGCTTTCCCTATCCTCGTGTGCCATTTTATTTCTCTTTCTTTTTTCAGAAAAAGATGGATTACTAAGGTCAAGAGCTACTGTAACACGAAATGAAAAATTTGGTTGCACACTTTCTCATTAGTTCCTAAGATGCCTGCAGAATTTTGACAGACATTTTCTGCAAGGATTTGTATTTTATTTGTATTTATTTTTTCAGGATTTTGATGGTCTGTGCTTGTTTTTGTGTGGGAAAATGTTCATTTCATCGCATACAATATAAAAACAAAAGAAAAAGTTTTTGGGAGCTGACATTATTGACATTATGCACGCTGTCATCAATTTTTGACAGACGGGTATGCATTCAAATGTAAAATCTTTCATTGTTCACATATAAATTACCAATAAATTGAAAAATGGCTAGGTTCCCTCATATATTAATAAATTAATTTCCATGTCTGGAAATTACATTGCTTTGTGATCACTTTTTTTTTTTTGCTAATTAATTAAATCATTCCGATTTGCAACCGACTAAATTTCAACTTCATTACTACAAAAGCGTAATTACAAATATTTTGAGATACATGACATACAAATAGAAATTACGTTTAATATTTACCAAAATTAGTTTACCATAAATGTTTTCCAGCACATTTTAGCAGTACACATATATTTCAAAGACAACTTATGTAATTACAAAAATCACAAAGAAAGATGTACTTAAGTAGTGGATGGATGAAGTACCAGAAAGCCACACTTAAGTAAAATTATACAGACATCTTACCAGAAAAGTACTTTGTATTATATATAATACTATATAATTTATAATACTATTATATACAATATTATTTGAGTAAAAGTTTTAAAGTATGTGATATTTATTGTACTTAAGTATGAAACGGTTTTTTTTATTTTATTAAACATACTTAAGTATTGAATGTAAAAGTGCAATTAAATGCAAAAGGGAAAAGGAGCAAACAAATATATAGGCCTATTAAATAAATGCTTATACACAGTTTGAGCAGCAAGATTGTGTTCTGTTTTAACTCTTTCTTCCATTTTGCATCTCTGGGTAAGCATACGAGGCACTTCATCCGGTACTTAGTCTCTTTCATTCCAACATAAAAAAACTGGAACCTACATCTGAAGTGGCTTTTAGATTTAATTACACAGTTTAATGTAGCTCAGAGTGGACATGCATGCATTTAACCTGCAGTTACAAATGCATAAATAATGATTTGTTTGAAACATAAAATGTTGAATATTGATATTTGAAATTATTTGAAACATATAAAAAAATAGTTGAAATGTGAAATTAAAACCGCCAGATGACAGCAAGTCACTGTTAAAGGGGTGGTCTACCAGCTTTTCTCGAAGGCTTGATTGTGTTTATGGGATGCACTGTAACGTGTTCATGCTTCGTTTTTAAAACATCTAATTATATTTCACCTTTATTCTACACCCCTTTTCCATTCACCTAAAAACTGTCTGTTGACTTTCTGGTTCCTCCCTCAGAAATGTACAATGGGCTCAGATTGGTTAGCTGGCCAAGTGTGTTGTGATTCGCTAACTGCCTAATGTATGTTATAATAATAATAATAATTAATAATAATAATAATTAGTTGCATTTTTATAGCGCTTTTCTAGGCACTCAAAGCGCTTTACATTGTCAGGGGGTATCTCCTCATCCACCACCAGTGTGCAGCATCCACCTGGATGATGCGACGGCAGCCATAGTGCGCCAGAACGCCCACCACACACCAGCTTATTGGTGGAGAGGAGACAGAGTGATGAAGCCAATTAACAGATATGGGGATTGTTAGGAGGCCATGATGGTCAGAGGCCAATGGGCAAATTTGGCCAGGATGCCGAGGTCACACCTCTACTCTTTTCAAAAGACATCCTGGGATTTTTAATGACTACAGAGAGTCAGGACCTCAGCTTAACGTCTCATCTGAAGGACGGTGCTTGTTGACAGTATAGTGCCCCCGTCACTATACTGGGGCGTTAGGACCCACACAGACCACAGGGTGAGCACCCCCTGCTGGCCTCACTAAGACCTCTTCCAGCAGCAACCTAGTTTCCCAGGAGGTCTCCCATCCAGGTACTGACCAGGCTCAGCCCTGCTTAGCTTCAGTGGGCAACCAGTCTTGGGCTACAGGGTGATATGGCGGCTGGCAGAATCCGGAAACCCATGCCACTTACCATAATGGGTAGTTGCATGTGGACCCTGTGTATTGTAAACAATGGCGTGAATGTTGCCTTATCATTTGAGCCTGAGTAAGACCCAGAAAATATTATTGAAGAGGATCGAGCAGAACCTATGCAAGCACGACTCTTACAGGACATTTCAGAATGTGTGTTTTTTTTTTTTTGTAGTTACCTCATATATATTTGTTATTTGTAAATGCTACTGCTGTTTATGTTATCTTTTGATATACGGTTTTATCTGTACTAAAACTTTATCCATACTACAACATAACATTAACGATAGAAACTATTTAAGGAAAACACATCAACAAAGTATGAGCAAGTAACTTACTTACAGTTTGTGACCCATAAAAATAGCTTCTGCTTTTATAGTTTGAACTGCTCCATATTTGAGGACAAGCTTATGGTCAAATCCGGCATTGAACTTGTGCAGATTGAGTCAACAAAACTCTACTACAACAACTCTTTCTCTTTTCTAAAGTGGCACAACACAGCCCCACCCCCTCTGATGCGTGTTGCTGGGGGCAGGGTTTATGTAAAATTCCAGGGTTTGTGACGTCACAAACCCAGGAAGGGACACAATGACCGCCACAATTATCCATCAGCTCCCATGTCTCACACACACAATCGTGACTTTAACACTATATTTAGCAACTTTCAGATATTTTTTGGTGGCTTTTTCCTGACAAACTTTTTTTGGATAAACTTTAGCTGTCATTCAACTGGAAGATGTCGCCAGAATTGGCCTGCGAGAGCGAGGTATGACTTTTCTGGCACAGTATCATCTCTCTCTGCGTCTATTATGTGCAGTGAGCAGCAGAGAAGCAGCACTGTTTTGAATTATAAATATGAACATAGCTATCTGTTAATATGCACATCGTTTGTTACTCGGATGCAGGCAGTGTGCGGCATGAGACAAAAAAGTAATATAGCCAAAATCACCCGATACAGCCGCTCTTTAGTGTAGATGTATGTTGATTTTATCAAATAATGTTGAGATTATACATCAGGATTTAAGGAGTAAAGTGAGGGACTCCTGGTTAACATGTAGTATCAGTGGGTTGTGTTTAGCCACTATTTCTAATTATTTTATGTATGACAACTGAAACTGTGTAAATGGGAACAGCTTTATGTGGGCATTCAGTTGTAGTAACAGTGTTGGGGGTAATACGAGTAACAATCAGATTACATTTTACGTTACTAGTAAAGTAACACATTAATTTTTTTTAATTTAGAAGGAAATATCTGATTCGTTACATGTGTGACTGAGACATTACCTTTCAGCCGGTCACGTTTGACATCACATCAGAACGAACTGACGAATTGTGGCGTAACATGACCACGATATGAGAAATTTTATTTCATGATATATATATATATATATATATATATATATATATATATATATATATATATATATATAAAAATATATATATTAGGGCTGTCAGTTTAATGCGTTAACTTAATTAGTTAAGCATGGCTGGTCCTGAGCCTGATAAGCCAGGACTAAGGCATCCACTATCCAGTGGGCGAGCGACAGAAATTTGAGCTCCACTGTCTTTACCGTCCACTGCATCGTGATGTGCAGCGATAGCAGCAACATTCACTTTCAGGGTGGAGGGAGGCAGCCTTTGCTCCAACCCTTCCTGCAGAAAAGAAAGCACAACCACGACTGGGCATCTCCAGGGTCCTCTCGGTGAGACCACCCTGATGGTTGATGTATGCAATGGCCGCAGTGTTGTTCGTGTTGACCAGTACGACCAGTGTTGACCAGTACGTGCTTAGACAGATTATTTACAAACTTCACACATAGAAAACAGCTATTAAACAAGGCCATACTTCAAGAATGTTTTTTTTTTTCATTTATATGTTTTTGAATGAATTATATATTTATAATTAACATTTCTTGCTTCAACTGCCACCCTGGATGGATTTTTTTTTCACTGAGCTTAGCATAATGCATTATGGAATTGATTTCTCCTTAAAGTAAACATGCAATGCTGCCTTACAGAATTTGATCAAAAAGACGCTACCTTAAAAGCATAATCATGTACCCGTGATACTATATGCAGTTCACTAAGCTTTTTAAGAGGGCCGTAATGTGAATAGAAACTGAAATGGGGAAAAATGGTCAAAATACTGTAGCTAAACTCTCTTCACAGGTTTCTATAAGAGTGCATGGCACTTGGGCAATATTTTCTCCTGTTTTCTAATTCCTGTCACTGACAATGAAGAGAATAGTCTGCAATAGTTCCCATGGAAACCAGCGTAGTTACTAGGGCCAGCGTGGTTGTCCTGGTAACTGGGTAAATGAGCAAGAGCTACAGATAGCACTCAGGAATCAAGTTTAGTGAAGAATGAATTCCAAACATCATCAGGGCAAATGGGAACAAACCTGTTTACCGGCCTTGGTTTAGCCACATGATGTGGTAAAGCTTTCGCTGTCTACACACAACACATTGTTGTATAAGCCTATTTTACAGAATTAAATAAGGGATAATAATATATTGCTGACCAGACATTATTGGGCAATACACCCAGAGAGGGTCATTATCACCCCAACGTGAAGCAATATAAAATATATTGTGCTGCTAGAGATATACTGTATATATATATATATATAT